TTTGTATACAAATACTCATTTTAAAAAAATGAAAAATAGGGGCAGCTAGGTGGTGTAGTGGATAGAGCCCCGGCCCTGGAGTCAGGAGGACCTGAGTTCAAATGTGACCTCAGACACATAACACTTACTAGCTGTGTGACCCTGGGCAAGTCACTTCACCCCATTGCCTAGCCCCCCCCCAAAAAAAAATAAACAAAAATTAAAAAAGGAAAAATAACACTTCCAATTAATATATTATCATTTTCAGGCCAAGAGGCCGTATGATGTGATAGAAAGAGCCCTATCCTGAGACCTGGAAGCCCTGGGTTCTTGTCACTGATTTGTCCATTTCTCTTTGTAGCCCTCTGTTAAACTCATCTTTAAAATGAGGAGGCTTATCTCCACAGTCTTCTAAGATCCATTTCAGGTCTAACATTCACTCAATGATCCCATGATATTTCTCAGCCTAGGAAGGAAGGAAGTAAATTAGTCTTTCCTCTCATTTTATAGCTAAGGGGACAGAGGTACCTAATTTGCCTGTTGGATGTTGGTGGTAAGGGTAGTTTCTGGTGTAAGGCATCCCAGTCCTCAGCCTTAAGGAGCTGAGCATCTATTAGAGGAGACAGTGCGAGAGACAAGACAATTACATAAAGTTCAGTGCCAGCTAATCAGTAAGCACTGAGGATAATGGGGTAATGGAGTCAGGTGTGGTTAACCAAGGAAAATGTCCTGGAGATGAGTTTTGAAGATTGGAAGGCATTCAGCTTGGGGAAGGCTGGACCTGGGCTAGGCAGAGGCATTAGCAAAGCTGGTCACGGGGTCATGAAGGGAACTGCCAGTAGGGGAGCTCCAGAGGGAAGTAGATAGGTGTCCGCTGACATGTGTGGGTCCTCAGTGGGAATAGGGGTGAGGTCAGAGATGAGATGAGGATTTGGATCTCTGTAAATGGTTTGAGAAGAGGACAACTGATTTCTCAATCAGATTTCTTCGGCCAGCTGACCCAAGCACTCAGCGTTAGCTGGGAGTCTCCCCTAGGTCTGGACAATCAGTATGTTTATCACCTTGGAAAACACAGAAAGCCTAGTCCTGAAAAGATGAAATAACCTGATGAATTTCAGGGTTGGACGAAGCAAGGTTAGGGAGCCACCTGGTGGTGGCAAGAGGCAGGTTCTACTTAGCGATGGATCCTAGGACTTGAGAATGGAAAGGATCAATAAAGGACATTCAGGCCAAATCTCTCATTTTGCAGATGAGGAAATCGAGGACAAGAGGTTCAGTGGCAACTATAATATATTGGAATCAGTCCTGACCTCTTCACCACAGCCATCTTTCTCGCCTTCTGCCCTGATGTTGCTAAAACCCCTCACATGACCTCAGACAGATTCATCTTTGGAATCAGGAGGTGCCGTCCTGACTGGGGAGAAACCACCCTGACCCCACCACGCTTCTCTCCACACATCCTGCCATAAGGCCTGCCAAAGCACCCCTCTCTTTTCCATCACCTACTCTGGGAACAATAATAAAATCAAACCCACTGATGCTTCCGGAAAACAGTGCAACATTCTGCAGCCCATGACTTCTCCCGCTCTGGGACTTCCAGAGCCACTGCACTCCTTTATGTGTGATCTCCCTCCCATTAGAATGTAAGCTTACTGAGGGCAGGAACTATCTTGCTTTTGCCGAGCGCTTAGAACACTGTTTGGCACATAGAAAGCCCGCAATAAAATATTTTTCATTTTTTCATTCATTTCTCCTCCTATTGGTGAGTTACTCCCCACAACTTCCATTTGAGAAGTACCCATGGGAGGGAGATCACACACTTTGGTCCTGGCTCAGCCCCTGACTCCCAGACTTTTCCATTCTTATTTTTATCCTCCTTCCCCTATATCTTCTCCCATTAGAATGTAAGCTCTTGGAGGGCAGAGACTGTCTTTCTTTTTGCTCGTATTTTTATTCCTATTACTTAGCACAGTACCTGTCTCTATTGGCCAATTACAAGCAATTGCTCTTGCGTCTCAAAGCAAGATAAGCATCCCTGCCCCTTCCTCCCAGGAATGATGACAATGGGGCATGGTGTAAAGAGCCCTTGATTTGGAGTTAGAGGCTATGTGTGGACATCTGAGGTAAGCTACTTTATTACCTGTGTGACTGTAGCAAAGTCACTTCCCTCTCTGTGCCTCTTCCCTCAACTCCAAAACGAGGGGCTGGGCTAGATATGCTCTAAGGTTCCTTTCCGTTTTAAATTCCGTGATCCTGGGAGGTGATGTGGGAGACATTTTGGTATGGTACAAAGGACCTCAGAGCTGGAAGTGACAAGTTGAGGCCCAGAGAAGTAACTCCGTCCAAGGGGACATCTCCTGACTTCCAGGCCAGGGCTCTTTTAGCTATCGCTGTGCCGTACCACGCCACACCAAGACCTCCTTCGTGACTTCAGACAAGTCACTCCACCTTGTCTAGAACTAAATTTCCCAATCTAGAAGGTGGAGGACTTCCTGGCTACCCATCCCACTGGTCAGGGGTGTCATAAGGATCAAATACATCCTTTTAGTAGGACATGATCTCATTGAGGAATTTTTCAACGGCAGGCTTGGCAATGCCCCAAGTTCTTATGGCCTCAGTCTCTCAGGGGACGAGGGGGCAGTTGGTTGCCAGAGCCTTGGAACTGGGGATTCAGATCTGACTTAGCTAGGAAATTGAAGAGGGAAGTAACCCATTAATCACCGTCCTCAGTCTTCTCCTGAGCCAGAGATAAGGTGGGTGTGTTAGGAGCAACAATAAACAGAGAGGACTGGGGTTAAGGATCCAGCTTCCCTGGGAAGCGCCCCAGCCCCTCAGCCTGCTCTGCTGGGATGTCCCCAGGCCTTCTGTCTATTCTTCATTACCCTTGGGGTCTCCACTCCTGACCTTCACCTTCTGTTTGGCTTCCTGTTTAGCCTTCACTGGAACCAAAAAAGACTCAAGGAGGACTAAGGGAAGAGAAGAGTGGGGCGGATTGAGGGGGATGCAGGAAAATGGAGAGCCCTACCCCGCAGAGGGGACAGCAGCAAAGGGAGTAACTTGGGGAAGCCGCCCATCTCTAGCAATGCCAATGGAACAGATGGATAGAACCTGGGAAGGAGGGGCATTCGTGAGCAGGACAGGGCTGGAAGAGACGGGCAGGGCAGCAGAAAGAACCGGGACCGAGCAGTTAAGGACCTGGCTGTGAAACTCGGCTCCTTACTCCCTGAATGAGTCTGGGTCAGTCCCTTCACAGAACCTCAGACCTGAAAGGGACCTCAGGGCAGAATCCAGTAAGTGCTGGCTTCATTCCAGGTATCCTGCTGACGATATAAGAGAAAATCTAACCAGTTCTTGCCTCCTAAGAAGTTTGCACTCTACAGAAGCAGATATAATATTATGGAGCGCTTTATAAGGGTTACAAAACGATTTGCAAATATTATCGAGTCTCATGACAACCCTAGGAGGCAGGTGCCCTGTGATCCCCATTTAACAGATAAGAAAACTGAGGCAGACAGAGGTAAAGCCCTGTCAACATCATTCCTGAAATGTGGTACCCACAATTGAATGCAATAAGTTTTAGAGATAAAGCACCAGGCCTGAAGTCAGGAAGACCCGAGTTCAAATCCAGCTTTAGACACTTATAGCTGTGTGACCACGGGCAAGTCATTTAACCTTGGTTTGCCTCAGCTCCTTCATCTGTAAAATGGAGATCATAGCATAACATAGATCATAACAGCATAGATTTCCCAAGGTTGTTCTGAGGATCAGATGAGATGCCATTTGTAAAAAGCACTTAGCCCTGTGCCTAATCCATAGTAGGTACTGTATCAATGCCTCTTCCTTTCCCTTTCTCCTTCCCCTTTTTCATCTGACAAGGGAGTGCCTAATCCATAGTAGGTACTGTATCAATGCCTCTTCCTTTCCCTTTCTCCTTCCCCTTTTTCATCTGACAAGGGCAGAGGGCCAGTAGGACTGTCTTCTCCTTTATTCTGGACACCCTGCCTCTCTTGATGTAGCCTAAGATGTAGTAGTTTTAGGGGCTGTCATTTTCCCTGGACTTGGGTTTTCTCATTTGTGAAATGAGGGGGTTGAGTTCGATGACCGCTGAAGCCCCTTTGACCTCAAGAGTCATAGGGTCTTTAGATGTCAGTTGAGATCAACCTTAGATAGGACACAGCATGTCAGAGCTACAAGGGGCTGTGGAGACAGACAAGTCTAGCTCCATCCTTTTACAGATGGGGAAGCTAAGGCCCAGGGAAGGAGAGAGACTTGCCCAAAGTCACCCAGCAGACCCAGAACCTTTGACTCCCAAGCCCTGTGGCTGCCTGTGGGGGCCTGGGCAGTGAGGCTGTCCCCCAGCATGAGTATTTGCCGAGCTTGCCCACATAAGACCCAGCCTTACCCTTGTGATGACAGGAGGGTGAGAAACGGGGGAATCAGGGGATATGGCTCTTAAGACTGATGAAGGATGCCAGATAAGGATGAATTGGGAAGAGGGAGCAGAGCTTTGTCTAAAGTTCCCAAGGGCAGGAAGAAGCAATTTCTGGAGCCTGGGTTACAAGGTGAGAAGGGGGGAGGCTAGGCCTAAAACCACCTCCAGGCTCCTGGAAGAAAGATGGGGAATTCCAGATACTCGCTGAAAAACCTTGACGTGGGCAAATTATCAGTAAGCCTCGGCCTTATCATCTTTTCCAAACCTCGCTTCCCACACAGTCCCTGAAGCTTTCCAGTAAGTGGAAGAAGAGGTTTCAGGTCTTTCCTTTCTGGGTCCTGGGGCCCTCCTACCTCCACACTGAAGCCCACAGAAGAATACCTGGCTTTGGGCTTTGGATCTCCAAGGGGAGTTGTGACCAGGCCCAAGGCTGATCATGCAGCCCTTTTAGGCTGAAGGCTTCTGGGAATTCTACTTTGAAGGGACAGCCACACTGGACACAGAGAGGGGAAAGTCTTCCCCTTTGGGCAAAGACACCCCAAAACTGTGCCACCCCCTTCAGAGGATCACAGGGACCTCAGAGGCAAACGACTTTAACACTTTCATGTAACAGATGAGGAAACTGGGACCCCTGGGAGTGAAGTGACTTGGGCACAAAAGGCATAAGTATCCAAGTGGGACATGAACCCACAGACTTATAGACCCAAAGCTTTTCTCACTGCACCCAATGCTACTCCATAGCCCATGAAGAAAGGGAGGACAGGAAGGATCTTTAGTAGTGGGAAGGCATACCCTGAGACCCTCTTACCTAGCCTGGGGGGGAGCCCTGCCCCTAGTACAGCCTTTACCACTCCTGAAAAGACCCTCCCCCACCTCCACCACCATGAGGGGGCTCAGGAGACTTCTCTTTGGAGCAAGCTGTATCTTCTCAAGCTGGTATCTCTAAGAGCTCAGGCTTCCCCCAGGATGCTCCCTGCACCCCCTACCCCCACTGTAAACAGGCCATTCCAGGGCAGGAGAGAGACCTCATCAGTCCCTTCCCTAACTTAGCACTTCATCAGCTCCCCCCATGACTCAGGAGAGTCCCACCTTGCGGCCGAGAGAAATCCCAGCCACTGGAAATCCTCCAGGGTCTAATGAAGAAGAAGGAGGCGGGGTTAGACTGACTCTACTTAAGAGGGGTCTCCAGAAGGGGCTCGGAAAGAGAAAGGAAAGACGAACCTCAGCTGCTGTGAAGTGGCTGCATCAGAGGGAGAGAGCTATGAAGGAAGCAGCCCTCCCTCTCTCCCTCTACCTTCTTTTCCTCACCCACCGAAGCCACCTCTTCCTCCTCCTTTACTTCCTCCTCCAAGGCCAGGGTGCTTGGGGTAAGTTCCCTGTCTCCTGACCCGTCAAACAGGGATTCCGAGTGAGGTGGACAGTGATGGTGTCCTCAGGGTTCTAGTACTGCCTTTATCTCCAAATGGCCTTGTGGCCCTCGGCGAGTCACCCCAGAGTAGCGGAAAGGAAGTAGGTAGGAGACCCGAGTTCAAATCCAACCCTGCTACTTCCTGACCTTAGGCCAGTTACTTAACCTCTCCTATACTTGGCTTCCTCATCTGTGAAATGAGAGGGTTAGATTAGACTGATCTCTAACACCCGGGCAAGTTCTTGATCCTATGATCCCAAGTCACTCCCCGTCTCTAGGTCTTGGTTTCTCCACCTGGAAAATTAGGGCTTAGATATCTTAATTGGTATTGAGTGCAAACTTATCTACTCTAACTAGCTGGCCCCAGACCACAGCAAGCTTCCCATCCATTGCACTGGCTTTACTGCCTCCAGAACCTCTCATATCTCACACACACACACACACACAACACACACACACACACACACACACACACACACACACACAACTCCAGCTCATAGAACATTTTTATTTGCTCGTTCATTCATACATTTATCTCCAAGGTCTCTACCAGCTCAGCCATTCCATACTCTGTGTTCTAAGGTCCCTTCCAGTTCTCATAGACTTATGTTCCCAAACAGCCCAGCTCTGATCTTCCATCTTCAAACATTCTTTCTAGCTCTGACATTGCATGTTCTAAGGCCCCTTGAAGCTACAGAATTCTGTGAGATGGTTCCATGAATTTAGTGTCTGGGAGCCCCGGGGCTGTAGAGTTGGGGCACAGCTCAGGATCTCTAATGATGGCAGAAGGAGGAGTGATGGGGATGAGGGAGGCAGCCAAGCTAACAACCCAAACATAGAACCACAAATGAATGGGAACTAAGGCCATTTCAACCAACTCCCTCATTTTACAGATGAGGAAACTGAGGCTTAGTGAGAAGTGATTTTTGCAAGGTCCCATAGCTAGTGAGCATCTATTATGCCTGGGAAGGGGTGTGTGTGTGTGTGTGTGTGTGTGTGTGTGTGTGTGTGTGTGTGTGTGTGTGTGTGTGAGAAAAGCAATTTGACCCTCAGTCTGGGGATTGAATCTTGACTCTCTGACCTAGTGAAAATCACTTTTCTTCTCTGGGCTTCAATTTGCACATCTAGAAAATGAAGTGGTTGGAATGGAATGTCTCCAGTCCCTTTGGGCTCTAAATCCAATTTATGACCTTATGATGTGAAGCCCTGAGCCCAGGGGCAGCTAAGAGGATCTTTCAGCCTTGAAAGGTGATCTCATTACACCCCTGCCCCCACCCCACCCCAGAAGCCCTCCCCTTCTACCTGTCCTCCTCAGGGGTGCCCAGGGAAGGAGAGAACCCTCTGCGAGTCGAGCCGAAGCGGCCGGTGGTCCAAGCCGGAGGTTCCATTCAGCTCCGATGCTCTCTGGCGTGCCCTCAGAAGGAGGCCGTGGTGCAGTGGAAGGGGCTGGACACCAGCCTGGGTCACGTCTCCTCAGGGCCAGGCCTCAGCATCCTGACCATCCCCAAGGCCACGCTCTCTATGGCCGGGGTCAAGGTGTGTGCCAGCACATGCCAAGGCAGCACCTACCAGAACACTGTGGAGCTGCTCGTATACGGTAAGTCCCATCCGGAAGCCAGAATCCTGGCCGGGCAGGAGGGGCTCCGGTAGGGCACTGCTCTCTAGCCAGAGGCAGGAAACAATGAGAAATCCCACCAGCCGGCGGGGTCCTGGCGTTGACCCTGGGCCAGAACCACCTCCTCTCTGTGCCTCAGCTTTCCCCTCTATAAAATGGGAAGGGTAATCCAGCCTATGACCTAATAAAGTTGTCGGGAAGACTGGATCAGATCAGGAATGAGGAGGTGCTGCATGACCATAAAGGTTAATTAATTATTGCTGGTCACCCAGGCTGAGCAGTTCACTGCAGACAGATGGCAGACTTGGCCCTTATCCCAACTCACTGTGTTAGGGTTGTGTGCCTCAGTTTCCATATTTGTAAAATGAGAAGGCTGAGGCTAGTTGATTCATTATGGCCTTTCCAACTCTGACATTTCATGTTTTATGGGACAGGCAGAACTGAGAGAAAAGAAGCCAAAGAGAAACAGAGACTAAAAAGAGTGGCAAGGGTGGCTAGGTGGCACCACAGTTGCACAGAGCTCTGGAGTCTGGAGGACCCGAGTTCAAATCAGACCTCAGACACTTACTGGCTGTGTGACCCTGGGCAAGTCACTTAACCTCGACTGCCTCCCCATCCCCCCTCCCCAAAAAAAAAAAACTGAGAATGGCAAGGGGCAGATAAGAGAGAGAATCCAGGGCCATTCCTCATCAACCTCACTGACTCTTTCAGCCTTTCCTGACAAAGTGGAAGTGTCCCCAAGCACCCTAGTCCCTGGGCAAGGGGCCACACTGGTCTGCTCAGCCCGAGAGGTCTTCCCTTATGAGAGTCTGACCTTCACCTGGTACCGGGGCGATGAGAAGCTGGAGGGACTGCAGTCCTTGGACGGGGATGTGGGGCTGGAGCAGGAAGCAGAGAGCAGGGAGGAGCTGGAGGTGTACTGGGTCACCGAACGCTGGGCCCTGCCGGCAGAGCTGGTGACGCCGGGACCCGAGCTCCGCTGCGTGGTGGAGATGAAGCTGGAGCGGCAGGTTTTCACCCATAGCCAGGCCATCACTGGTGAGTCCTCCACACTCACCCCCCAACCAGCCCAGGCCTACCTGGAAGCATTCCCCTAAATGTCTACCTTCCCCCCAAATTTTTGAGTTTCCACTTCTAACAATATTTGCCTGACCTGGTTTGAGACCCTTAGGGCAGGATGACGTCTCCTTCCTTCCTCTGGAAAAGGCTCTCGTCCTTCCTTCCTTCAAGCAGACCCATGCCCCCCATTTCTCTTAGTGGGGGATGGGGAGGAAGTAGCCACTCAGTAGGGTTGAGGGAGGGGGTGCTGAAGAGAAGCCTTCTTCCCTAAAGCAGTAACCCCCCCTTTCTTTTCCCAGTCATTTCCAGGATGCTGTCCCCAGAACCAAGCACACCTCTGCCACCACAGACCACCGTGGGGCTGGCTCTGCTCTCCTCAGAGGCGTCTACAGTGACGGGTTACAGTTCCAGCATCCCTGACACCACAGTTTCCTCCCTCTCTTTGGACCCTGGGTCTTCACTATCCCCTACCTCAAAACCCAGCTCTGGCTCACCTTGCCTCCCCAAAATATTCCCGTCCCGGGTGCCGGGGATCAATGGAGGGACCCTGGAGCTAACATGCCAGGCAGACTGTGACCCCTGGAGCATCTGTGCACTGGATTCAGGCCCCAGGCAGGCTGGAAGACTACCAGAGACAGGAGGCTGGGGCCCAAGCCACCCTAATCCTGCTGCATCCCGGGCCCTGGAACAGGGGGTCGTACATGTGCCAACTCGAACCTGGGGGCCAGAAGGAGAGTTATTACCTGGACAAGCCCGTCTGTGAGTCCCTGAGGGATGGCGGGGCTGGGCCCAGGGGGCTTGGTGGGGAACTTAAGCCCAGGTGGGACAGTGACGGGGAGAAGGGGCCAAGCTTGGGCAGGCTGAGGGGCTGGTCATTTACAGAACCCCATTTCCTTTCCCAGTGCCTGACGTGGACAACCCGGACAACTCAGCAGCCCTATGGACAGGTGGCTGCATTCTGGGGTTCATCCTTGTGACCTCTGTGTCTTACCGCCTGTGGAAATGGCTCAGGGCTCAGGACTCTGCTGGTACCCAAAACTTTGGGGCCCAGCTTTGAAAGCACCTGGTCGAATACAAGGCTCTCGATCTTGCCAGCTTCCAAGGCTGCAGAGTGAGATTCCTGGTCCCTGCGAGGCCAGTGTAAGAAGTGGAGAGGCTATCCCCCATCCTGAACCCCAGCCATGAGGCCAGCCTGTGCCTCCCCTGGGTCTGTAGACTGGACAAAGGGAGCCTGCCTGCCAGCCAGAGGACCCTGGAAGCTGGCTCCACCAGCCTCCCCACAGCTATATGGAAGGGGGTGGGCAAGGGTTGCAGGCAGGTGTGCTCTCTGGTGGGCTGCACTGGGCTCACTCACATCAGCTGGCTCTTCTCTCAGGTGGGGATGGGGGTGGGGGAGCTATACTGGTCACCCAAAGGATCTGACCAATAAAGAGCTAGTCTGTCTGTGGAGCTGCTGCTTTTGCTGAGTGAGAGTCAGAGCTGGGAGGGGCCTTAAAAGAAAGAGTGTCTCCACATTCAAGAAGGAGGCAGAAGAAGAGGACCAGGGTTCAAAGCCTGTCTCTGATGCTTATTAGCTGTGTGGACATGGGTAAGTCACTGGCCCTAGGTGGCGCAGTCCATAAAGCACCAGGCCTGAGTTCAAATGTGGTCTCAGACACTTATGAGCTGTATGACCCTGGGCAAGTCACTTAACTGCTGTCTGTCTCAGTTTCCTCAGCTGTAAAATATGGACAATAACAGCATCTACCACAAAGTATTATTGTGGGGATCCGATGAGATAATATCCCTAAGGCACTCAGCATAACGCCTGGCACCCAGTAGGCACTTAATAAAGCCTTGTTTCCTTCCTTCCCCGGGCCTCAGTTTCCTCACCTGTAAAATGAGAGGATTAGACCAGATGGCCCCCGAGGTCCCCTCCACCTCCAGATCCAGGACCCCACGATCCCCTGTACGAATTCAATAAGTACTAAGGGCGTGGCACTGTACTGGGCCCCAGTGATACCAAACACACCCCCCGAAGGCCCTGCCCACAAGGAGCTAACGTTCCAAGGTTGGGGGCAGGGGGGTGGATGCACAGGTACATGAAGACAAAATCTTAAATACAAACCAACTGGGGGTGGGGGTGGGAAGACCAGCTCTTTGGATCAAGAGAACCCTCCCGTTGGGCCTCAACAGAACTCGGAAGGAAGCTGAGGATTCCAGAGGACAGAGGGGAGGAAGGACTATTGCAGCAGTATCCTATTTGGGCCTCCTCTCCTGAAATTTCTCCCCATTTTAATCCTTCCTCCACAGAGGCACTAATGTGGCTTTCCTGACACACAGGCAGAGCCCCTGAAAGCCCTGAGGAAGGGCAGTGACGTGGCCCAAGCTGCTCATGGAGAAGGGGGCCTTGGCAGCCTTGGGCATGATGTGTGGAGCAGAGAGAGACTGGAGGTGGGGAGATCGATAAGGAGGTGATTGGAAAAGTCCAGGGGAGAGGCACTGAAAGTCTCAGCTAGGGCCACGGCCCTGTGAAGGAGGGAAATGGACAAAATCTGACGACGGATGGATGTGGGGGGTTAAGGACAATGAACTGTCAAGGGCAGCTCTGAGGTCTCAAGCACAGTTAACAGGGTAGAAAATGGTGCCCTTGATGGAAACAAGTTAGGAAAAGGGGAAGGGTTTAGATGAGGAGAGTCAGAGATTTCCAAGGTAGAGGGGTCTAGCCCATGAAAGATGGAGGGGAGGGCAGGGGGTTAGAGGCCTGGGGAAGTTGATGGGGTTAAGGGGTTGTGTCAGAAAAGACCAGTTAGGAGGAGGAAAAGAGACAGTCGGGTTGATTGATCTGGAGTACAGCTGGGCCTTCACTGGGACTTCAGACTGGAGTAGCTGCCTTCCTCCTTCTCTTTACCCAAGCCCAGCATAACCCAAGATTGGCAGAAGGGCCAGGAGGAAAGTCCAAATTACCCAGAGATGAGGAAACTGAGGCCTAGAGGAAGAGTCAGTTAGGATATAAAGTCAGCATCCAAAACTACCACAAGGCGGGTGTGAATGTACTGTAAGCTGTGGAAGCTTCACAGAACCCCAAAGAAAAGGGAAGGCTTATCATTAGTGGGAGTTCTTTCTTCTTTTAAACCAAATGTTTATTGATATCTTTTGTTTTTACATTACCCAACGTATTTCCCAATGTATCCCCACAACCACCCTTACCTGGAGAGCTATCCTTTATAATAAAGGATTAAAATTGAGGAATAAAATAAATAGCTCAGCAAAACTAACCAATATTATCCCAGAAGTCTGCAGTTACATGCAACACTTCACCCCCATGGTCCCCCACCTCAACAAAGAATGAAGGGTAGGTGTCTTCTCATATCTCTTCTTGGGGTCCAAACCCAGTCATTCTAATTTCAGTGATGACTCATTATAGCAAAGTAGGGAGCTGTAGCTACCACTTTGTAGTACAAGGCAGCATATGTGTGATGAGGTACTTCCAAAGCAATAGGAGTAGGAGCCTTTGGCTGGCTGGGGGGAGCCCTGGGCTGGAGAGAATACAGGAGACCCAGAGCTGGCCTGGGCCCTTCTGGTGAACCCACAGGCAAGACCACTTCTCCTAAAAATAAGGGAGTCAGATTGAATGACCAAGTATTATTCATGAACTCCTCCTGGTCAACAGGAAAGCAGAAGGAGAGACATTCCCCAACTCCATTCTCCTAGAGCGGTCCAAAGTCACTTTCTCTCCTCCCCCCAGGCCTATGACCCGAGGAGGAAGTAAAATTCCCACAGGCCACAATCATCCCTGAAAGTTTAGGTTGTCAAAAACAGGGTAAGATGGAGAAAACTGGAGCTAATTTCCCAAACTAATGGCTGCTCCTTCTGAGTTTCCCAAGAGGCTAAATGAGTCTCCATTCTGAGTGGGAGACCCTAACCTGGCCCAGAGGAAGCCCCCAAGTAGTCGGTGAGCTAGATCTGACGCTCTCAGTGCCCAGCAGGGAGACATCCACTGTTGTCAGAAACTCACCAGTCTGAGGGGCAGACAGCAGAAATCCCCTGCAACGGGGCACCTTGACAGGATGCCCCCTCCAGTACAGAAATGAGTGCTCGGGGAACTGAGAGGTCATCTCTGTCACAGTCTCGCACCCTAACACCTAAACCACATTCCCAGAGATTGGCAATAGATCCCCGGCAGAGTGTCCTCCCATTCCAAACTGAAACAGACCAGAAACCGAGCCCTGGAAGAATTAGCCATGTCATGCCAGTAACGGCTAAGTGGCCAGGCACTGCGCTAAGTGCTGGGTATTCAAAGAAAGGCACAGAACAGTCCCTATTCTGATGGAGCTCACAGTCTAATGAAGGAGATAACATGGAAACTACTAATGTACAAATAAGATACTGAGGGAAGGCCCTGGAATGCAAGGGGATCAGAAAAGGCTTCCTGTCGAAGATGGGATTTTAGCTGGAGACTGAAGGAGACCAGGAGGCAGAGATGAGGGGGGGAAAGGTTGCAGGCTTGGAAGATAGCAAATGAAAATGCCCAGTGTTCTGTTCAAGGAACAGCAAAGAAGCAGCATCACTAGATCATAGTGTACGTGCTGGGCGGTCAGGAATGGGGGTGGGCCATGTTAAGAAGACTGGAAAGGTTGGTTTGGGGCTGGGCTGATCACGAAAGACTTTCAATGCCAAACAGGACTTTATATTTTGATCCTGGAAGTGACAGAGAGTTGCTGGAGTTTATTGAATATGGAGGCCTTTGATGGGAGTGGGAAGGGCTCTTGGTCAGACTTCACTCAGGCAGATCACTTTGGAAGGTGAGTGGAGGATAAACTGAGGCAGGGAGACCAGCCAGGAGGCTATGGCAAGAGTCCAGGCATGAGGTGATGAGTCTGTATTAGTGGTGTTGATGTCAGGAGAGAAGGGGGTACATTTGGGAAATGTTACAAAGGTAAAATCAAAGGTACTTGACAAAAGATTGGCTAAGGGGCAGCTAGGTGGCGCAGAGGATAGAGCACCAGCCCTGAAGCCAGGAGGACCTGAGTTCAAATCCAGCCTCAGACCAAACACTTGCCACTTACTAGCTGTGTGACCCTGGGCAAGTCACTTAACCCCAATTGCCTAAAAAAAGAAAAAAGATTGGATGGGGGGGGGAGGTAGTGAGAGAGAATGGTGAGTCCAAAGATGACATGGAGGTTTCAAGCCTTGGTGAATGATAGCGGGACCCTGGATGGGGATGAGGCAGTTAGGAAGAGGGGAAGGTTTGGAGAGAAAGATAATTAACTGAGTTTTGGACGTGGTGAGTTCAAGGTGCCTATAGTTCAAGATGACCAAAACACAGTTGGAGATTCAAAACTGGAGATCAGCAAGAGAGATTACAGCCAGATAAGTAGATCTGAGAATCATCAGCATAGACAATAACTGAATCTATGATAGCTGATAAAGTCACCAAATGAAACAGTATGGAAGAAGAGAAGAGGGTCCAAAACAAAACCCTGTGGAATGCCCACAGTGGATGTGACCTGGATAAAGATCTGGCAGAAGAGTCTGAGAAGGAGCAGTCCAATTGGTAAGAAAACCAGGAAAAAACAGTGTCACAAAAACCTAAAGGGAAGAGGGTGATGGACAGAACCAAAGGCTGCAGAGAGGTCAACAAGGTTAAGGATTGAGAAAAGATTCTTAGATTTGGCAACTAGAGACCGTCAGTAACTTAGGCGAGAGCAGTTTGGGTTGAATGATCAAGTCAAAAGCCAGACTGTAAAGTGTTAGGAAGAGAACGAGAGGAAAAGAAGTGGAGACATCTAGTCTACAGACGTCCTTTTCAAGGAGTTTAGCCACAAAAGGGAGGAGAGACATGGAGTGATAGCCTTTGCGGATGGATGGATCAAGTGAGGGTGTTTTGGAAGATGGGAGGCAACACTGTCATGTCTGCAAGCAATAGAGAAGCAACCAGTAAAGGAAGAGAGGATGAAAATAAGTGAGAAAGTGGAGATGACCAGAAGGGCAATCAGCTCAAGGAGACAAGCTGGAATGGGATTACTTGTGCTTGTGGAGGGGGGTATGTAGACTGGTGGTTTTCTCAGGCTCCCACCTCATCTAGGACTGATTCCAGCCAGGATTCACTTTTCTCCCTGACCATCTCACTAATCAAGGCCATCACCATCCCTGTAACTTTCCAAATAAAGATGCCTTTTCCTGACCACCACTCACTGCCTTGGCATGTGAACTCCTCCTCATAGTGGAGCTGCCTTTGAATTTGTACTTGAATTCTCAGTGCTTAGCACATAATAAGCACTTATTGCTTTTTCATTCATTCGGAGGCTCATATTTTGCACAACAGTCATTCACATTTGCTGAGAAGTTGCCCTAAAAGTTTCCTTCAGTGTTTGCCTATGTGTCCCTTTTCTTACATTCTGGACATCTCCCTCAGACCTGGGGCTCCCAAGTGCAAGGGCTATCTGTCTCTCACAAATGGGGCTCTCACAAAGTCCACCCCACTTACCAGAGGCTTCCTGAGGAAAAGGGCTCTTCCTCTCCCACCATCTAGGGCTGCTGAGAGGCAGGGGCTATCATTTCTGTATATATGAATCTCCCTAAAGGTAGAGGCTGTCTCCCAGTCCGCGTCTAGCTCCTGGAATTGACGCTCCCGGAAAGCAGAAACTCTTGTCTGGACCGCTAAGCGGGGATACAAAATCCCTACAGCTGCTTCCCCATCAACTCCCCTCTTGGATTCCAGGACAGGCATTTGGGTTCTGTCCTCCAGAACAGTCGTGTCCCAGCCTCAGGCCAGAAAGAAGCTGAGCAGATTAAAAAAAATAATAATAATAAACTAACACAAGCCTTCCAGGCCGGTTTCAATGCTGGGCGTCAGAAGTCGGAGGCGCAGCACGCGGAGCCCGCGTCCCTGGCAACCGGGGACAGCCGTTGCTAAGGGGCGGGCCCTCCGCCCACACTCAAGATGGAGTGGTGACAGCGTCATACCAGGAACAGCTTTCCCCAGCAAGGCTATCAGGAGGCCAGGCTAGAGTCTGGCAAAGGTCATCCTTGGGGCCCGGGCCCCATAGTCCCCGCCTCGCTGGAGAAGATTTAAGTAGGAGGCAGCGTCTCTTCAATAACATCCAAGCTCTTTGTAACCCACCTCCGGACCCAAAGTGCTGGCGACGGCGATGCCGCCAGCAGCCAACATGGCTGAAGCACCGCTTCCGGCACCGCCCCGTGCCAAGATGGTGGCGTTTCCGGTCCCTGGTCAGCCCGCAGAGAAGATGGCGGAGAAGAGGCGGCCCACGGCGCCGGTGGCGGGAGCTTCGGAAGCTCGGCGGGCGAGTCCGGCACGCGGCCTGGCTACTGAAAGCGAGGAGGAGTTTCTGCGGCAGGCCGGGGTGACGGCCATGCTCCGCGCGGCGCTGCTCAAGGTGCTGGAGGCGCGGCCCGACGAGCCGCTCCCCTTCCTGGCGCACTACTTCGACAACCTGGGCTTGCGCTCGCCAGCCAACGGCGGCGCTGGAGAGCCCCCGGGCCTGCTTCTCCTGCAGCAGCAGCGCATCGGCCGCGCCTTGTGGCACCTGCGCCTGGCTCACCACTCCCAGAGGTGCGGGGGCCGGGCCGGGCGGGCAAACCGACCGACGAACCCACCGAGCGGCTGGGCCACAGCCTTCGTAGACTACAAGTCCCAGAGTCATTTGTGCGTCGCGGGGCATGCTGGGAATCGTAGTCTCTGACATAGACGTACACACCCCTTTCTCCCTCTCCCCCCCCCGGTGTGGGCGGCGCGCTGCATGTTGGGCCTTGTAGTCTTTCTCTGACAAGACGTGGAGACTAGATGTTCTGTGGGTCCTGAAACTGATCCCAGCCTTTAGACTCCCAGATGAAGCTTAGAACCTAGAATAAGATGTGAGGACTGGGAGGGGTCTTGCGAGTCTCTCTCAGTCTAAGCCTTTCATTTTACGTGAGAGGTACAGAGAAGGTCTTATGTTACAGAACAGCCCCAGAAAAGAGACCTTTGAGGTTGGGTGGTGAGTGTGGAAGGTGGGGGAAGGGAATCCTGACAGTACCCCTGGGTTCTAGCCCTGGCTCTAGTTTGTTAACCTGAACAATTCATTTCACCACTCCAGGACTCAGTTTTCTCCTATGTATAATAGGGGTAATTAGATTTGCCCCGCCACTGATAAACATGAGCAATTTTCTGTTAAATGCCTTGGGCAAATCACTTGTCTTTTCTGGGCCTTAGTTTCTCCATCTGTAAAATCATAGATTTGGGCCTGGAATGGACCTTACAGATCATCTAGTCCAGTCCCTTCATTTTGAAGGTTTTACAAATTTAGGCCTAGAGAATTTGAGTGACACGTACAAGGTCACACAACGAGCAGCAGAGCCTGGTTTTAAACCCAGGTTCCTCCAACTACAAAACCAGCCCGATTTGTACTCCCATGATACCTTCTTATGAGAGATTAGATGTTATGGTCTCCATTCCTTTCCTATCTTACAATTCTGTGATTCTCCCTTTTCTCCTGACTCCCACAGCCCACGGTCACACAGCCACTTTGTGGCAGGGCTAGAATGAAAAGCCAAGTCTTCTGACTTCTGGTTTAGGGTTTTTTCTCCCAGACTACATTGGCCCTTGTTCAGCTCTCCCCAGTAATGAACAGACTGTGAACACCAAGCCTCTGTAAACCTCCTTTCCAAGAATAGTTTGCCTCTAAAATGCCAGGAGCATAATTTTGTATTCAAGAGGAAGCCATGTACAAACCCCAGTTTTTATTATTAACCTTTTATTATTTTATGGTCTAATCATCACCATTTGTATTCTGGAACAGCTTTATACCCTGACCTCATTCATCTGCCCAATAATCTGGTAGTAGATGACAAATCCCTTTAAGCTGACTTTACAGATAGAAACAAAGCCCGGGTAGCAGGGAGGAGCAGGTCAGACAGGGACGGGTCTGGGAAGTTCCCCATCCCTCCAAGTGCCCCTGAATCCTCTCCCATTTCTCCAGAGAACAGTGCACTATCGTTTTTGTGGCCCAGAGGCCCAGTCTCCTCCTCCCATTGTGCCAGGGCAGTGGGGCACAGACTAGCAAGTACTCCTTCCTTTTCCACCTTTCCCGATCCTGTTTTAAGGTACAGACAGAAGAGGAGGGGCAGTGGAGAACACTGCCACAAATACTACTCCCTGCCCTCTGGAGGCCACGTCAGCGAACATTAGGTGGTGTCAGATGTCAGACATCAGTTTTGAGGTCAAAGAGTGGAAAAAGGCTCTGGACTGGGAGGCAGAGACCTGAGTTCCAATCTCGGCTCTGCTCCTGACTTGCTGTGTGACTTTGAGCAAACCTGCTCCCTTTTCTGGGCCTCAGGGCTGTCCCTTTCAGGTGGGATTTTCAACAAATTCAACAAACTACCCCATATATGCTATGCAAAGGACTGTGCTAGGCACCAGATATGCAGAAACAAAATGACCCAATCCTTGACTTCAAGGGGCTTGCACTCTACTTAGGGGAGGGGAGGAGGGCAGAGCCAGGGTATGACACGATCAGAGATGGTGTAACCTAAGGAATGGAGGGGGGGCCAAGGAGAGATCAGACAAAGTACTTAAGTAATAGGGAAAAGATCATTGGGGGGCTGGGGAGAGAGGTGAGCCTTGGAGAAAGTTAAGACTTTCTGCAAAGCATGAATTAGGAAGAAGTGTACTGTGTACAGCCTGAGCAAAAGTACAGGAGCTGGAGAGCCAAGTTTTGAGAGCAGCTGGTAGCCCGGGTCCAGTTGGCTGAGCACATAATGGGGGGTGGGGGACATCACGTGAATTAACGATGGAAAGATGGTCTGGAGCTAAATCCCAAAGGGCTTGAACTGCTAGATCGGGGAGTTGCAGTAGGAAGCCATAGGGGGAGTAATAGTCCCATACCTGAGGAAGATTAATTTGGCAGCTGCCTGTTGGATTGCAGAGGGGACAGACTGGAGGCGGGGAGGCTATTGCAATCATCCAAGTACAAGGTGTTAGGGGGTCGAGCTAGACTAGTGCCCCCCCACCACCCCCCTGGCACCAGTAAAGAAGGTGATGGATGAAGGAGATGTGGTGGTAGAATTGTTAAGAATCAATGCCTGATCAGCTCATGGGGGTGAGGGAAGGGCAGAGGCACAGAGCCCTCCCAGGTACTGAAAGGATGCTGGTGCCCTGGACAAAAACAGGGAGATGTTGAGGAGGGACAGGTTTAGGTATGGAGGAGAAAACAGCCGGTCTGGCTTCAAAGGCTGAGGGTTCAAACCCTGTCTCTGTCCCTTCAGTTCTTGGGGTTCCATCTGGATAACTTCCCCGGCCCCTTTGAGCTCTGACCCTGTGCTGCTGTGACAAGTTCGGTTGGGAGCCTGTTTGAGACGCTGAAAGGCCCTGCAGTGGAGAGCCGATGACTGAATGTAGACTTAGTAGTCATGCTTGGCCAAGGGAAAGGGCTGGTGAAAAAACCCACAGGAGGACATGAGCTTACTGAATAGAGCAAGAAAGAGGGGAAAAGACAGCAATAAAAATAAAAATTTAAACAAAAGTATCATTGAGCCTAAAAAAAGAAGAGCCACTGTATATTTAGAGGTCTCCTCTAACACCGTCACTTTGTGATTCCATTTTTTTCCCTCCCTCCTCTCAGTTCCACGAACCAGTCCCATTATTTCCTCTTAACCTCTAGGCCTTTTGTGAGGAAAGAAAATCCCGTGGCAGGGAATCCTCAGCCCCTCCTTCATCCAAAGGAACTCTGGGGGCTAGCATGGAAAGCTGGCAGACATGCGCATCAGGGGAGCGGGTACAGGTATAGTGGACCACACCTCCACTGGCCACCACCAGCCCCTTCTGACTTCCCCAAGCTGGGGTGGCTTAGCCGAATCTTAAAAGAGCGTGAAGGGAAAGGAGTCCTCTAGGGGCAAAGGTGAAGAGTCTGTCTGGTGGATTGTGAACCTCGTGGTCAAAAAGCTTGTCCCAGTGCTGTGGGTTAGGTGAGCGTGGAGGGTGGCCAGAGGCCCTGCCCTTTGGGAGCTGCCGCCAGTGCAGACTGCAGGGCCCTGACCAGGAGGAGCCCCCAGTCTTGGGGGAACACAGGAACCTGCCCTTAGCAACACGACAAACCCAGGGGTAGCTAGGTGGCACAGTGGATAGAGCGCTGGGCCTGGAGTTAGGAGGACCTGTTCAAATCCAGCTTCAGACCAGCCACTTGCCACTTACTAGCTATGTGACCCTGGGCAAGTCACTTAACCCCAGTTGCCTCACCCCCCCCCCAAAAAAAAAAAAACATTGGCACAAGAGGAGCTCTGGAGCTCTCCTGAGTGCTGAGAAAAGGTCGTGGGCACTTGGGGCTTATCAGCAGCAGCTCCTGGAAGGAAGGGGTGGATGGGCTGGGCCAGAGAGTCTGGAGGGGTCCTGGTGCAGAAGCATGGGGGAGGCAGGAGGACACACGTCACATGCAGTTCGCCTACAGCTTTGTTTGCCCCCCATCCTGCAGGACCGCCTTCAACAACAACGTCAGTGTGGCCTACGAGTGCCTGAGCGCTAGTGGCCGGAAGAAGAGGCCAGGCCTCGACGGGCGCACCTACAGTGAGCTGCTGAAACGCATCTGCAGAGACGGGGAGGCCCCCGAGGAAATCGTGTCCCCCCTCCTGCGGAAGATCCAGTGCCGGGACCATGAAGCCGTCCCCTTTGACATCTTCCGCTATGGCATGCTCACCTGTTTTGTGCTGTTGGAGTTTGTGGCCCGGGCAGATGCCCTCTACGAGGTCCTGGATGACTCAGGCCAGGCTGACCGCCGGGTGTGCCAGGCGGTGCTGGACACCCTGGAGGGGGCCCTCTTGGCTGGCGATTTTGAAGCCCCTAGCCGATACCTCGAAGCCGGCTCTCAGCTAGGCCCCGACTGCCTCGCCCTGGCCATGGACCGGGCCCTGCTGGCCCGCAAGCCCAGCTCGGCCATGTTGAGGGACGAGTTCCTGGAGAAAGCTGCTAGCTTGTTTATTGCCAAGGTCAGGCCTGTGGGCTAACCCCAAAGCTGCCAAACCTTTCAGGGATCAGGCTGGCCCACGATATGTGTTGGGATAGTGGAGATCGAAGGGCAAGGCTGCCCCACCCTTCCTCTTGGCCCCGGACTCCACTCTGCCCTCAGATACCTCATTCCTTTCCCTGACCCCTTGCTGGGAAAGGCCCTCTGGCTGGCGTGGGAATCCCTAGGAGGAAGGGATAGGGCCTGGGCTGCCGGCAGCTCAGATGGCTCAGGTTCTCCCAAAAGGAAAGTGCCCTGGCGTGTTGGGAATGTCAGGGAACCTGACGAACTAAAGACCAGCCCTTTCTCATCCTGAGCTTCTTCACCTCACTGCTCCTTGGCTTCCAGTCCTGGGGAGATCAGCACCCTGTCTCTAGCCCCTGAAAAGCCTCTGCCCCAGGTGAGAATCAGAATCCAGGTGGTTTCCCACAGGGGAGAGGGGTCAGGTCCTGAGATCATTTTCTGGGCCGAATTTGGGAGCCCGTAGCTCCATCTAGCTCGGCACTGAGGCCAGATTCTGCCCAGCTGTCCACCCGTGGCTTTCCCCTGCCTGCCACTGGCACCCTCTCTGCTCCTTGGGCTGGGGCTCCCACACGTCCCGAGCTTCCATCTTCGCTCTAAGTAATAAATTCTTTATAACCTCTGTCCACCACTGTCTCTATGGATGAATCAAGCCAGCTTTTTCCTGCCCATTCTCAGCTCAGCCGAAAAAATGAGCTTCCCTGGTTGGGACAGAACCCTCATCTTCCTTAAGCAGATGTCACTCAGGGCCAGGTAGAGCCTTTCATCAGGCCTGTTAATTCCTCAAACTCCGTGCCCTGGCCTGAGAGATGAGAAATGTTGACCTGGGTCTCTGAGACAAGGTGCCCCTAACTAATGCTTTGTGCGGGCTAAGAGAATGGCCGATGAGGGGGAGGGTGGATCTAAACCACCAGCCTTACTCATCTCCCTCCTCCTCATCAGATACCTGTGTTTAAGGCTCACACGTGGAAGCTGAGAGCAAGTGGGACCTGAGAGTCAGGGGTCCACCAGCCCTCCCCTCTCCTGACCCCTCAGCTGCTGGAGAAAGTCATGATATGGTACTAACCTATGACCGCAAATTCACATTTGACCTTTGCTGGGCCCTCCGGTCCTGGGGCTTGCCTGGTCCATACCCCATCATGACTGCTGCAGACCTCACCCCTTGTGCCCCACCCTGCTGTACTCACACAGGCACACTCAGCAGATGACCTCACCTCCCATCCGTCTCAGTAGGTCTCTACCTCTATCCCCATCCTCTCCTCCAGCCTTCCTGTCTCCAAAGGAGGGATGTTTCTCTTGGCCAACGCTAATGCTTCCACTTATTCCTGAGATCCCAGTTCTTCCCGCCTCCTTTGGGGACCTTGCTTCATGAAGAATGACCACTCTCTTTGCCTCTCCAGTGAGGACACTTGTTTAGTTCTGCCCTGTCCTTCAGAACAAAATGACTCTCCAGTAATCCTGCCACCCTTTCCAGCTTAACAATCTGTAGCGGGTGTTGTGAGCTGATGGCCAGGGATCAGAGATGCAGCCAGCTTCTCATGCCCATTTCCCATTCCTATTTCCATCTGATAAACCAGCAGCCACATGGGGGAGGGAAAAAATGACCAGCACAAAACTCCTCCGTCCAAATGGGGATCACTGAAGGATAGCCACCACCGGCCTGTCTGGGGTCAGACTAAGCGCAGCTCAGCACAGGGCTACTCCAGATGAGGGACATGGGCTTTCACAGAGAATCTTTGTTTACATCATCCCCATTTCCAAATACACCTCCCTTCCCCCTGCCTCCGGTAAGCCAACCTTTGTAACAAAGGATAGAAAAAGGAGACACAGAACAGCTCAAAGCCAACTGACCTGTCAGCCCCCTCCACAGGAATCGGGGAAGGGGGTTTTCTGAGCACCCTGTTCAATCCAGGCCATTTTTGTGGGACAGCAAAGACTCCATCTTTGATGTTTGCTGGTGAATAGAAGCATTTTTCTTCCTTTAAGATGCGTAGCTCAGAGGTCAAAGGCAAGGACTGTCAGACTCAGGGTTGGGACACCTGGCCTGGCTTCGCCTTCATCTTACTCTAGGCCTTGGGCCGAAGTCCCTGAGACTCCCTCGTCTCTACATGCCCGGAGCTCGGGGGCCGACCCCTCCATGCCATGGCTGTTCCCTATCCAGCTTTATTATCTCTTTGGGATTAAGAGACAGGATCCTCCAAATAAGTCAGGAGCACAGCCCCTAGCAAAAAGTAAAGGTGTCATTAAGCATTCAAGAAAAGGCTGCTAGATGGCGCCATAGCGCGTGGAGTGCCTGGCCTGGAGTCAGGAAGACTTGTCTTCCCGGATTCCAGACACTGACTAGCTGTGTGACCCTGGGCAAGTCACTTAGCCCTTTTGGCCTCAGTTTCCTAATCTGTAAAATGAGCTACAGAAGGAAATGGCAAACTACTCAAATGTCCTTGCCAAGAAAAAACCCAAGTGGGGTCAAACAAACAGTCAGACACAACTGAAATGCCTGAACAAAATATAAGGGGGAATAAAATAATTTCATTAAAATATTTTTTAAAGTGAAGGAATGTCCACAATGGTGAAAGAGGTCAAGGATCGTCTTTGAGTGGGTATAGACTGTCAGTTCAGATGGAAGCATTAAGTTCTACTGTGTGCCAGGCACCAGGGATGCACAGACAAAAATCAAACAACCGTTACCCCCCCCAAGGAGTTTTTACATTTGATCAGGGGAGACAACATGTATTTAGAAAAACAATAGACACAAAAAAGTAATTGGAGGAGGTGGAATGGAAACCAAGAAAGGCTTCCCACACAAGGTGGTGTTTGAGCGGAGTCTTGAAACAAAGAAGGGGTTTCGAGGGACCCAGGTGAGGAGGGAATGCTCGCCGGGACAGAGGCAAGGGCCAATACGACATCATGGAGACAGGACGTGAAGTTCTCGGTGTGTGAGAGGTAGCAAGAAGGCCAGATTGCCTGGACTGCAGAATGTGTGAAGAGTGAGGTAGGACAAGGCTGGAAAGCTGAGTTGAGGCTAGGTGGTATAGGATTTTAGATGCCAAACAATGGATTTTATAGTTTTTCCTAGTTAGGGAACCATTAAAGTTTACTGAGTAGAGGGGTGACATGGTCAGAACCAGGCTTTAGGAAAATCATGTTGGCAGTTGGATGGAGCCTGGGTTGGAGAGGAGAGAGCTCTGAGGCCCAGAGACCAATTAGGAGGCTATTGTAAGAGTCAAGGGGAGAGGCAGTGACAGCCTGAACCAGGGCAGTAGAACAGAGCTTTGGCCAGATTCAGGAAATACTGTAGAGGTAGAAACAGAAGATTTGGCAACTGAATGTTATAGTGGCTGAGGGAGAGCGAGGAGTGGAAGATGGCCCCAGTGTTATAAACAGGGGTGAGGGGAAGGTGCTGACGGCCTCAACAGCAGTAGGGAAGTGGGGAAGAGAGGCAGTTTAGCATGTCTGTGGGACATTGAGTTGGAAACAGGGTGAAGGTTCTTCATTTGAGCCTCAAATTGTTTTTTTTAAACATTTCAATAATGATTTCAATATAACTGGTATAAATAAATGTATTTTATTTTATGCATTTAAAAATATTATTCTTGTTTTAAACATGTAATTGGGAAAATATTATATTAAAAATATTATTCTGAGAAGGGGTCCAAGGCACAAAAAAAAAGATTAAGAACTCCTTCAACAGGGAGTCAGCCACTTGAGACTAAAGCTCAGAAAGAGAGACTAGGGCTAAATATGTAAACATAGGAGTCATCTACATGAAGATGAGAATTAAACCCATGGGGACTGATAAAGTCATCAAGGGAGCAAGTATAGAGGGATAACATACATATTTCTATCATGTTTGAAGTCTTTTACTTCGAAAGGGGAATTTTTTAAAAGATAATTTATTGATCTTTTGTTTTTACATCATCTAAATTTCCCAATGTATTCCCCCTCCCGTTACTGGAGAGCTCTCTTATATGATTTTTTTTTTGCTTTATTTTGGGGGGGGTGGGCAGTGGGGGTTAAGTGACTTGCCCAGGGTCATACAGCTGGTAAGTGTTATATGTCTGAAGCTGGATTTGAACTCAGGTCCTCCTGAATCCAGGGCCGGCGCTCTATCCACTTCACCACCTAACTGCCCCCCTTGATTTTTTTTAAAAGAAAAAAAAATTCCTCAAAACTCACCCGCGGTAGCACAAACAAAAAAGCTGACATTATATGCAGTTTTTTCACATCTCCTCTTTGGGGCCAAGCATGGTCATTACAATTCTGAGGCAATGACCTTTGACTGTTTTTGTTATTTTATTTACATTGTTGTGTTCTTGTGTTCATTGTTTTCCTGTTCTTTCTTCTTCTACTTCAGTTCATATAAATCTTTTGATGTTTCTCCATATTCGTATCCATTCTTAAGCATAGACTATTCCATTGTAATCACACGTTTAGCCATTCTCCAATTGATGGGCATCTACTTTGTTTCCAAATCTTTTCTACCACAAAAAGTGATACTATAACTATCTTAGTGTAGAGGCATCGAGGGCTGGGTCTAGAATTTGGAAGACCTGAGTTTAAAAATGGACTCAGACACTTACTATGTGACTGGGGGCAAGTCACTTAACCTTTGTTTGCCTCAGTTTCCTCAACTGTAAAATAGAGGTAATATCACCTACTTTGGAAGGCTGTTGTGAGGACCAAACATGATGATATTTGTAAAAGCACTTAGCACAGTGCCTGCCACATAGTAGGTTCTTAATAAATGCTTGTTCCCTTCCCCTCCTCCCTGGTATATATTTTTTAGTCATTTTTCAGTTGTATCAGTCTCTTCATGATCCCTTTTGGGTTTTTCTCGGTAGAGATACTAGAGGAGTTTACCATTCCCTTCTCCAGCTCATTAGACAGATAAGGAAATTGAGGCAAACAGGGTTACGTGATTTGCTAAGAGTCATACCACTAGTAAGTGTCTGAGGTCAGATTTGAACTCAGGGCTATCCCAACTCCAGGCCAGGTGCTGTATCCACTGCACCACCTAGCTGTCTTCCTTGAGGTATATGCCTAAGAATAAAATCTCTGGGTCAAAGGGTGTGGGTGGTTTAGTCGGTTTCTTTCCATGATTCCAAATTGCTTTCAAAACAGATGGACCAATTCAAACTTCCACTGACAACATATAGGTATGCATTTCCATCTTCCCATAGTCTCTTAAACATCAACAATGCTTATCTTTTGCCATCTTTAAAAGGTACATTCTTATGCCTCTATTACATGAATCTTTCACAATAGGACTCAGTGCCAGAGCTTTGAGCTTCACCTCTACGGAAGTCCCACTAATACTTTCTCCATACAAGGCAGCAGCTGCTGAGAGAACAGGTTTAGCAGGGGGTCTTTTGTTCAGTACTTCAGATATGGGAGTGACCTTGCATTTATGAGTGTGCCAGGGCACATATATGGGAGGCAGCCAAAGCGGGACCCTGTTATACAGTTCTACCTTACTCCTTCCTTTGACCGCCCAACTTCTCAGGTCAGTGGTCTCTTTCTCACCGCCGCTCACTCCTCAAGCCTTGGCAATATGGTTTCCACTCTTATTATTGGACTCAAGGTGCTTTCTGAAAAGTCACCATGGCTACAATCACCAAATCCGAGG